GACACTATGCAAACAGGATATTTGCAATCGATTCTCCTCTCCTGAGAATTTTTATTACATATATTTTTCAGCCTTTTAATAACAAAAAACAGACCGCAACTGACCTTTCCCGGTTTTCATAGTGACTATTCCACTGATTAAAACGAGTTTCAAGAAAAGCAGAGTTCTGTGGGTTGTCCAGACAAACAAGACACTGTTGCTGTTCTCAATTTTTAATGCCATGAGCACCATATACACTGAGAGAGTTATCTCCAAACATTGGACATCCAGAACAGATATCCAGAATTATGTACGTGGTCACATCAGACAGATTATAAAATATGGGTCTTTTTTTGTAATTTCAGCCAACTTTCTCTTTTATTACGCTGGTATGACCAGCACCTGTTAAATGTCACGCCTGGTTAAACGGTAACATACAATCCAACTGTTTAAACTCATATTGCCATATTCCTTACAGCTGGGATTGTTTTCCTCTCCATCTTGCAAGTTTATCAAAAGTAAAACTTTTGGCCAGTAGAGGTCACTTTTCAATTTGATCATCTTTGCTACGTCTGCAGATTAACTAATTTAACTAAAATACATTTTCTATTGGCAACACTGGGCTAAAATGGTTCTTTTCCTATAAGACTATTTAAAAATAGTCAAGCTCTACCTGCAGGACCAGTTTGGATTATGGCTATAGGTTAATTTAAACAACCATGTTAGAGGGTTTTTTTTAGTTTTTTTTAGTTTGTATCAAACACTTCTGCTTTCTTACACAAGTCATACTAATTTATAGAAAAAAATTCAAACGTAAAACTCCAAAATGTCTTCCTTTCAGCACCATGAAATAATATGATAAAACATTTTAATGGTTCAGGAAACTTTTGATTTTTGACTGATGAAAGTTTCTGTGACAATCCATCCATCCATCCATCATCAAACTGCTTATCCTGCACACAGGGTCGCGGGGTGCTGGAGTCTATCCCAGCCAACTTGGCGATAGACAGGGTTCACCCTGGACTGGTCGCCAGCCAATCGCAAGGCTACACAGAGACACACAACCATTCACACTCACACTCACACAGCAACGGGCAATTTAGAGTCCCCAATCAACCTGATCCCCAGAGCATGTCTTTGGACTGTGGGAGGAAGCCGGAGAACCCGGAGAGAACCCACGCAGACACGGGGAAAACATGCAGACTCCACACAGAAAGGCCACTGGGCAGAATCCAACCCAGGACCTTCTTGCTGTGAGGCGACAGTGCTAACCACCACACCACTTCTGTGACAATACATCACTTTATTTTTTCCCAATTTGAAGCTCTGAGGAGCAGCCTTTATCCAGCGAGTTTAACAACTGTTGTTCTTCGTCTGTCTCCTTGCACGCACAGTTGACCCTAAGTATTCACTGCGGAGTCGAGCAACCCCCGACGACATTTTTCTCTTCCTCTGAGCTGTGCTCTAAAACGGGAACAATTGTGTACAAACATACAATTACAAGAGAAGCAGCATGATCATGTTTGGTTAAAAATATTTTTCACTTCACAGGGTGAAGGAGAACGTCTAAGTTACATCTCTAATTTTTAAGAGCCCCTTGTGTGCCGCTTGCGTGCTTTTTTACCCCTTATTGCATTCTTGCGTGCGTTGACCAATTTTTCTAGTTTAGCGTCAAAAACAACGCAACCTCGCGCAGCCCGCCAGGCTGTGATTGGTCTGCTAATCACATCCTTTCCGGTTTCATGGCATAATACCGCCATTTTTAAAAGGACTATTTTTGAAGACAGATCGAATCAGATTGAAGAGCTTTTGTCGGAAGAAATTCGTAAGTATGACCGCTTCTACAAGCCGTCATTGGCGGACTATAAGGACGCGCGGATGGCCTCTGATTCATGGAGGGAGATCTCCGCAAACGTCGGTTTGCCGGTCGAGGGGAACAAAGTTGTGGAGGAAAATGCGGGACAAATGTGTCCGGCGATGGAAAGGAGCAGTGGCGATGCACGGGGAAATAAAGTCTCTGCTTTTTATGTATCCCTAAATAAACATCCAACGACTTCCACACACAAAGACGTCGCTCTCTAGGTCATCTTCGACAAAAAACAATACTCCACCTGTTGTTGTTCTGGCGGTAAATTGCTCTGCAACACGCGCAAGACTTTTAGAACCATGAGTTGAAACGAGTGCGTCGACACAAGTGCACAAAAAGCCGGAGCTGCAGTTGCAGAAACATGCCAGAGCCTTTAGAGAGACATGACCTTTGAGAAGTGAATGAAGAAAAGCAGCCAAGTAGCCGAGCGATCATTGGTACCATTTTAAGTGAAGACAAAAAAAGAGTATGAACAAAACTCCCATAAATATTTTTAAAAACAGAAATAACACAAATTGAGCAGTTAAGGCGAGATGCTCAAGTCCCACAGTTTGCAATCGTCTTCTTTTTTTGTCCACTTCACATTCCTAAATCCACGGAAATTTGTTTAGCTTTCAACATCGGAGCAGCTACTGTGTGCCAGGCACATTGAAATAGATTATTAATCCGATAATGACGACTGCCACCACCACGCCGATGGCGATAAACACAAACTTCATCTTCTTGTTCTCCCATCTTTTCTTCTGCTTCACCTTGACGCAGGTCTTTTCAAAGGCTTTACTCTGAAAATAAAACAGATATATATTATTATTATTATATATATTACAAATATTTTGGCACATATGTAACATATTACAGGATAGGATGGATTCATTCACTACCAACTTTAATACAACTTCCTAAGCCTATGAAAACATTTCCAATCTGAAAAAACATGTTTTTCTCAAACTGCTTGTAATCAATGTTCACCACTTGACTTCTTTAATCCGCCCCGGAGAGAACAAGCCTGTTGGCCCGTGTGACATCACACTCGTATGCATTCATCAGAGAACTAAAGGAGCACACTGAGATTTTAGTCACACGACAAAGGGACACACTGTGTGATCACACGGGTTATCAGCCGTCTATATTTTGACTACGGCTGCAAAGGGGCCGAACATTTCCGGTACATTTCCAGAAACTTTCTATGGGAAGATAAGCTTGGGAATTTTGGAAATAATCAACATTCTTTTTCTTTCCAACATTTTGCAACCCTAATTTTGACACAAAAAAGGATTGAGCCACAAAGAGTTGCCTCCCACATTGCTACTAAATTGTGAGTTCAGTGAGGCATTTCGATACTCTTTATTTTAAAATGCGCAAGCAGTTGTCTGAAGACTTCAGAATTATGGCACCATGACAACATTTTGTTTTTGGCCACCGGATCAATGTTAGTTTGTTTTTTGGTGATAAGCCGGGTTCCGACTTCTCGCTGCAAACAGCAGCATCTCGGCAGTGAAAGGGAGCCCGTATGCAGGGCGCGATACCCAGACAATGACCTCAAAGAAGCTGAAACGCAGACGATGATGATGATTTGTCCACTTTTTAAAATAGAGATATTGACTGGAGAAGCACTACATTTTAAGAACAATCCAAATGGTTCTTGAACCTGAGCTGTCTGTTTGTCTGGCTGTTTCCTTTTTTCAGTGCTCTTATGTAACACTCAGGGCAACGTGGGAGCGATGTGACCCGCATGTGGATCCCCGGACGGACATGTGCCTCGTGGCATGTCCTGGACTCACTCTGCCGTACCCAGAGAGACCAGCTCGCTTCATTCATCTTAGTAAACAATAGGAAATGCCTTTCTAAAAACAGCCCCATAAAACACAATCAGGATGTAAATTGTACATATGTTTTCCTTTCCAGCTCCACCTGAGTATTTATAGACGTCGATATGACTTTTCCTAGTTGTAAATCCCTGGAGGGCCGTGCATGGGCCATTTGGTGAATGCGGCCTTTCACCTTCTCCATACGACCCACAGACTTGTTTTCTGTGACCCCCCTCCCGCTTACCTTTTCCAGCAGCACATCAGCCCTGTCCTCCAGTTCAACCAGTTTGCCATTTCTCTCATCAGCCTTGTTCAAGTTGTCCATCATGATGACCTTGACCTCCTCCACGTCCCCCTGGACCTGCTGCAGGCGGCTCTTCCCATTCTCCTGTCCAACCGACACACGCAACATGATTAAAGACGGAGGAAGACATAAAGTGGATTCAGCTAACTGAGAATGTTTTCCAGGGATTCATGCGCTTGCATTGTTTAAACATTAAACCCGCAGTGGGAGCTGTTTGTTTCTTGACAATGATCCTGTCTTATGTCTCATGGCTGCACTTCTGTGTTCACAATCAGAATCAGAAGCTGTTTATTGCCACATATGTCGCACACAAGGCCTGTCTACTAGTCACACAATACAACTCAGCCACTTTCACAGTAATTCATTGTCCTCTGTGGCTCTGGAAGAGTGTGTTGTCAAATCTGACAAATCCACCCATGATGTCATCAGGCGCGGGTAATCACCCTGTAGGACGAGTTCATGACGCAGTTTTTTGGCCTCCGCTCCGAAAAAGGCGAACCTGTGACAAAACGAGTAATAACTCTGTATCTACTTTGTCTAACTGGACAATTATTTTTCTGTGGGGATAAAGGGGAACCACCTGAGTGTTCTGATGTGTAAGAATACGTTTATATGTTACGGGGGAAGAAAGAAAACAATATAACACGCCAAAAAAAAAACTTCACATGTGAAATAAAATCAATAACAGCCCTATAAAACATGAAGACAGCAGGCTGAAAACACGTCTACGTTGTGTCCCAGAGTGTGGACAGAACATTTCATGTTTTTGTTAAAAAAGGCCGTTTTGGTTTATATTCTTGGTGGTTATTTTTTCTCTGGTTTTGGCAACACATACATAACCATATCACATTTACTAACTTGTTGGAGTTGTGTTTGGAGTGTTTTCAGACGGATGAGTGGAGATTGTAGCCAGGGCGGTTTCGAACGGTGTGAAGGGTTCATTAGCCTGTTGTTTCTCAGTTTTGTCCTCTTTTGTTTCAGCTACTTTCTAAATAAATGAAATCTATTTTCTCGTGAGCACAACTTTAAAAATATATATCCAGACATGAAAATGAAAAAATGAACCATTTCGTCCTGAAGTGGATCAGACTTGTTTGCTGTTTAATAAACAAAGGCAACAGCCATGCAGTGAATTTAAGCACAAGCCAGGACATGCTTTTAACCTGCAACCGAAGTAAACATTGTTAAAGCGGAATGTAATCGATTGCAATGGAATGTTTTGATTATAAAAAGTGACTTTTCCCAGCAACGCCACTTGAAGCCAAAGTGGAAAGAGAAGCATTTTGTGAAACTAACCGACACGAGGGCTGGCTTATCAAGACGATCACACACACATTAGTGCAGCAGTTGTGTAACTTTAGGCCTGCAGAGGGAAAAGGCAGCAGCAAGGGCAAGACAGCAACAACAGGCTAACGACGGACTGATAAGAACCCTGGAGCCGGATATTTACTGAGTAGCTTGACCTCAAAGCAGTTTGTATCCTGACAGGTTTCTCCTCCACCTTTGCCCCCTCGGAGCCGTGACAGGAAGACAAGGTCTCCCAAGTCGACGGGAAACCAACAGACAGAACAAAACAAGTACACTGTCTGCATCTTTATTTGGTTCAATGTGATTTCCCGTCCGAACCTACTGTAAGCTTCATTTCAGTGATGGAAAGCGATTAATGGAATGCCCTGGTAACCCAGTTATCTATTCTCGGGCTCAATAAAACTCAGCCGTCAAACACAGGAACTGCTGCCCACTGCGGTTCCCCTCCTTGCTTCCTTCCTTCCTTCCCTCACTCCCTCCTGTCTGCATTAATGTGCCTGGCATAATCCGGGGAAACCACACCCGCACTGGGCTGCAGCACGGCCATAAACGTGCAGAATGGTTCTGCATTCTGTGAGAACGGCCGCTGTCGTGTGAGATCATAACATGACTCCTTTGTTGAGTTCAGAAGTAATGAGAGCATAAAGTTTAATGTAACCCATTGAATTCTTCATTTACGATTTCATGATCTGGCTTCTGATTCTGAAAGGATAGTAAATGTAAGGGAGGAGGTATATACCACACTCTTGTATATCTACATAGATTATATTTGAGTAATTAATTAATTCAGGATGTTTACTGTCTATGATATTGGAAATGCTTTCATTTGCGACAAAAAAAAAGAAAAAAAGTGTAAATGTTAAAAGACACATAATATACTAATATAAAATAAAATACACAAGAATCATCGAATAAATCCATCAGAGATCGCGACATCGAACATCACCCTGAGGAGACTCGCTTCCTGTAATGAGCTCGCTTCATATAAACACTGTTTAGACAAGCAGCATGGCGTGTGCTTCGTTTGCATGTATTTAACTATATCGTTCAGATTCTCCCCAATGTATTTGGATCCCGTGCTTCCAATGAAATAAAACATGTTCAATCTGAATAGTTTCCTGCTATCATTTTCCTCGTGGATATTGTAACGATAAGTAAGTGAGACACAACTGACAGCCCGCAGATATTAAAGGTCACACAAGTTCACCCTGCTCCCGTAATGCATTTCCCCTAAGCTCCGCGTGTCCTTAATATAACGCAAACGGCTTTTTTAATAACGTCTTACCATTTCTTTTGCGTCTGTTGCCGCCTTTGGGCTCGAGGCTGTCACCGGATCCGATGCGTTCACACGTCCCGAAGTAGGAATCACACCGAACCAGTTTGAACCTTCTTCCACCTTCTGCCCGCGGGCGAGCTCAACGGTTCCTTTTGGTTATCTTTCCCTTTTCTTCTTTTTCACTTTTCCTTTCGTCTTCCCGCTCCTGTCACTGAGCGTCGATCCGCCGCGTGGACTTCCACCTCTGCGGGGGCCGCGCTCGTCTCTCTCCGTGTTACCTGATCACGGTGCGTTCACGGTGCCCCCGGGAAAAGCGTGCGGTTAAAGAACGGCCGTCACGTGACCGCCGTGCCAACTCGCCGAGCCGAGTCCGGAAACCCCCCCTCTCTCCTCCCCCGCCCCCACCGGTTTGTGTTGACTTTTTGTTGACGTTATGCGGCTACAGGCGGTGACAGTGTGCGTGGGGACGCCTTTCATTCGGCTCACTTTTACAGCCCGCAGCGGATTATCCGGATGTTATACCATAGTTATACGCTATGGATGGACTTTTATGACCCAACTACAGGACCGACTCAGTACAGAAGCATTATATTATAGAGCAGACTCTACCTCCACTAAAAGACAAATTGTAGCACTTAAATTGTGCTTATAACGCCACTCATCTATAGCAAATTGTAAATTGGCTTATTTGATGAATTTGCACTTTTATATCTTGTTCTTCTGAGTTTGTATCCCTATGGTTGAATGCACTTATTGTAAGTCGCTTTGGAGAAAAGCGCCAGCTAAATTACATGTAATGCAATGTGATGCAATATGTGCAGCAGCACTCCGAGTCGTCAGTGGCATTGCCTGATCTCCTTCATGCAGCAGGGACACTAGTAAGAAATGCACGGCAGATGTGCAAAAACAGACAGCTGTGTCTACTTCTAGTAGGCATTCGGACTTAATGCAAAACATTACGTGCTGTTTGTTCACTGAAGGGTGTAACCCTCTCATGGGCTGTGTGCACTTTTAAGAAGGGGACTTCTGCTCCACCCGTGAGAATTACGTGTAATATTCACATAATATTCCCGCAGGGACTTAGAATATGTCAAAGGCATCAAAAAGTACATTAATATTCAGCCTCTTGTACTTTGTACCTTTGGCATAATGTTGTATTTTGACCTGTAGTTTTAATATCTTTATGGTATATTTAAACCGGAGTTCTTTCTTCAGCAAAAACAAAACCATGGTGCAATAGACTCCTTTTTTGCTCAATTAACAGGACAGCGGACATGTGTCGTGTCACATCGAGACACAAAGGGACCAAACGTCTCTCTGCGCGGTTGGTCATCAGCAAAGCTGCACATGCTGAAGACTTCACAGGGTCTTGATGATAAGGAGCAGACAAGACGACTCCTTTGTAGTTCATTCAGTGAAAGTTACAAGATAAAGAAACCACCACAAAGCAGACGCCATTACACCTCTGATTACGAGAGGCTCAAAGATCGGAGATAGTTCAATCAGAAGAAGTTGCCGCGTCATTGAGTCATAATATCCGTTGACGCAAGGCTGTGTTGTATTTCTTCTTCTTCTTCCATCCTTTGATGCAAGAAGAGGATGTGAAAGACAGAAGAGAATCTGATGCAGAAATTTGAGGTCAGTAAAGGTTTAAAATAAAGATACATCAGAAACAGGAAGTGGGGCTGTTTGTAAAAAAAGTCTAATTTAGGCAGCTGAACATTGGTTTACTGATCCCCACGAAGATTAATAACAGATTTTAATTACAATAGGTTGTAAAGGCCGGCACTTATGTCCATGAAATAAATGAAATCTCACACTGAAATAGTTTCTATTTGCTTAAACCTTTGAACCAACACACTGTTTTATTACATGAGTATATTTACAAGTGTGTGATTATACGGCTGTACTTAATTGTTTCTATTTAAATTAGGTTTGTACACCTACAATAAATGAATCTAAAAGATTTGTACCATTGATAATCACATAAGGCCAAAGATTTGCAGTGATCAGTCATCTCCATGGTGACAATGAGTTGTTTTTTATAATGAGTGATGGTTTAGGCCTCTTCAATAGGACGAGCGTGTGAATGAAGCGCTCTGAGCATCAACACACACCTAAGAAACCACAATTAAAAACTGCTAATCTAAAAAAACATCTAATGTTACTGACAATGTGCCACTTTGAAAAGAGAAGCGGGAAACAGCTGGTCCTAAATCTGTGTTGATTCACTGTGACTTGTTATCACCTAAACCGGCCGAAGCTGTTACCACACAAACAGAATCAACATCAGGTGACTCGTCATCAGATGAAGAACACTACCGAATACAGTAGCAGTACTCCAACTACTTCTACCACCAGTACGATTTGTAATATTACCACTGCTGCAGCACTATTAGCATAGCTCAATAGTTAAGCACAGAATAGAATCATTGGGGTGTTATATAATGTTTGAGTTGACCTCTAGTTTCTTATAGTTGACAATCCAATAGTAGTATAGAGGTGTTCAGTATTTTAATCTGGTCGTGTATATACTTACTATAGTAGATGCAACAGTGTGGTATAGTAACGTCTAGTGGGAAACTTTACTTTTATTGTAACACACACGCTCTGTGTGAAACTTATGGTCAGTATAATAGAGTTCAGAGTACATTTTTCTAACTGAGACAGCATGACAGACAGACAAAAGACAAAAAGCAAAAAGATGCCGAATGACAAAGGTCCCATTCAGCATGATCCTCCCCCCTCTTTATATCACGGTCTGGGACTCGTCAATGGTTGGCAGGCTCACATCCGCATGACTACAACGGTCTGAGTCCAGGCGGATTTCCCATCAGCAGCAGTCGGGCTTTCTGTGGTTGCGCTGTTTGTGTTGGTCTAAGAGGCTGTTGTTACCTAACGCTGTCAGGCCTTTTGTCACGTAGATAAAACCGTAATAATTCAGTCTCCACTTGTGGACAAAACAGCACATTAGTACTGAGGAGACGCAGAGGTTTCGTGTTGTTGAGTCAACAGGAAAAGCGGGTCGGTTACGACATCCTCGACACTCTTTCTGGGTTTTAGTTTTACATGAACTGGTTGTCCTTCTACGGGTCACACGGTTTGAATACTTGTGAGTTAATAGGCATTAAAGTGGGATCAATTCTTATTTGGAAACAGATGTGTGCATATTGAAGACATTCTGGCCCGAGGCCTCACCAGCTGGGCCTGGTTGGGAGTTTACCACCCTCTTTCTTTCTTTTCTGCCCAGTACTCAAAGCAATAGGACCATTGACTCTCGCTGGCGTGCCGATTGCATTTCGAACTCGCCGAACAGAAACCAAAAGTGTGCCTTTACAAATTCCACCCACGTCTGCCTGCTTGAGTCTCTAACTCTCTGTATCCATCTTTGGACAATTTACAGCCAATGAGTAAAGGCAAACAAAGCCTGATCCTAAACACAGGGGGAGACCTGCTGCAGCTGGAGCTCTGAAAAATGATCTTGGCCTCGCGCAGCACGGATCAGCTCAGTATGAGCGTGTGAATTCAAGCTGCGAGCAGCGTTGGTCGGACGGCTGCACGTCCAGGGTTACTTGGCAGAGAGAGAGAGCGATGAATCTCTGTGACCGCCAGAAGCTGCTCGCAGTCTGGACGGTTTTACCCGTGTGTCCCAGCAGAGCAGCAGGTCCTTTTGTCAGGTCTCAAGCCTTGAATATTTGACATTGATTCGTTGAAAAAATTCAACCTCACCCGGAGGCCGATAGAACTAAAGCTACAGCTGTTGATTGTTTTACCAATCAATTATCTATTGATAATGGCTCTAGCTTCCTTTTGGGGTTCATTTTTAAAATTAATTTCTTTATATATTAATAAACACAAGAAAATTCCAGATATCCTGACAAAGGCTGATAACAAAGATGTTTGGATTGCCTTTGGTCGGTGTGATTTGTACATTTTTCTGTGACAGTTCTTGGATTTTTTTGTTTTGTTTCAAACCTAGAAGGAAAAACATACCAGAGGTTCCGTGTCGTGGGGTTTTCTCCAACATAGAAAAAAAATCTGAAATGAATAATTACCAAAGATCAAAAAAGGACCTTTTCCAGAATCTGGTTCTCTCATTGTTCTTTGTTGATGACAACACAGTAACGCCACCTTGTGGCTCTTTAACAAACCGCAAATGAGAGGACAACAACGTAGAGCGAACATACTATTTATTTCTTATTAAACCATTAAAACCATTGATCAAAACATTCATGCACATGGCACAAGCTGAGCAGGAGGCCGGTTGTTCATCTATTTAGGGAATGTGTATATTTTGAGTTGAAGACTCCGGCTGCAGCCTGTGTGATGAGCAACGTGATGGTGGAGCAACAGGTAAAGAGAATCCAGCTTCTGCCCCCCAGAGTCATGCTAAAAACACAACTAGCAGCCTCATCTTTAGACCTACAGACAGAAAAGGATTAACATAGGAGCCGTTGCGCTCTACCACTTTATGATCAATCATTCTGTAGTAACCATTTTAATAGAAATCGCATACAGCCTTCATTGGTTCATTTTTGATAAAAACAATTGTATATATATGTATTATATCTCACTTTTAAGATCCAAGACAAATGTGTTCTCCCATCGTGGGCCTTACAGAGACATGACCTTTGAGAAGTGAATTGGTACCGTTTTAACTGAAGACAAAAAAAGAAACCAATAAATATCTTTGAAAACAAAAATAACACAGATTTAGCAGTTAAGGCGAGATGCTCAAGTCTCATAGTTTGCACTCGTCTTTTTTTTTTTCACTTCATGCTAAACCCACAAAAAAATGTTTAATTTTCAACATCGGAGCAGCTACTGTGTGCCAGGCACAATGAAATAGATTATTAATCCGAGAATGACGACTGCCACCGTCGCGCCGATGCCGATAAACACAAACATCTTCTTCTTCCCCCATCTTTTCTTTTGGATCAGCTTGGAAGTGGTCTTTTCAAACTTTTTAGCCTGGAAAGAGAATACAAACACACACACATGTAACATATTACAAGATGGGATGGATTTATTCACTGTCAACTTATATACAACTTCCAAAGCCTGTGAAAATACCTACTGTCTTTTCCTCAAAGTGCTTGTATTCAATGTTCACTACTTTAATCCGCCCGGAGAGAACAAGCCTGTTGGCCCGTGTGACATCACACTCGTATGCATTCATCAGAGAACTAAAGAAGCACACTGCGATTTTAGTCACACGACAAAGGGACACACTGTGTGATCACACGGCCGTCTATATTTTGACTACGGCTGAAAAGGGGCCGAACATTTCCGGTACATTTCCAGAAACTTTCTATGGAAAGATAAGCTTGGGAATTTAGGAGATCATTTTTATTTTTGTAAAGATTTTTCATGGGATGTTTACAACTTAGATGCAACCCTAATTTTGACACAAAAAAGGATGACAGCCACAAAGAGTTGCCTCTCACATTGCTACTAAATCGTGAGTTCGATGAGGCATTTGGATACTCTTTATTATAAAATGCGCAAGCAGTTGTCTGAAGACCTCCGACTTTTGGCACCCGTCTGTTTTTTGTTGATAAGCCGCTAGAATACGCAGAGTTTATCGGGGACTTCTCGCTACAAACAGCAGCATCTCGGCAGTGAAAGGGAGCCCGGATGCAGGGCGCGATACCCAGACAATGACCTCAAAGAAGCTGAAACGCAGACGATGATGATGATTTGTCCACTTTTTAAAATAGAGATATTGACTGGAGAAGCACTACATTTTAAGAACAATCCAAATGGTTCTTGAACTTCAGCTGTCTGGCTGTTTCCTTTTTTCAGTGCTCTTATGTAACACTCAGGGCAACGTGGGAGCGATGTGACCCGCATGTGGATCCCCGGACGGACATGCGCCTCGTGGCATGTCCTGGACTCACTCTGCCGTACCCAGAGAGACCAGCTCGCTTCATTCATCTTAGTAAACAATAGGAAATGCCTTTCTAAAAACAGCCCCATAAAACACAATCAGGATGTAAATTGTACATTTGTTTTCCTTTCCAGCTCCACCTGAGTATTTATAGACGTCGATATGACTTTTCCTAGTAGTAAATCCCTGGAGGGTCGTGGGCCTTTTGGTGAATGCGGCCTTTCACCTTCTCCATACGACCCACAGACTTCCCAAAAATGTTTTCTGTGATCCCCGTCCCGCTTACCTTTTCCAGCAGCACATCAGCCCTGTCCTCCAGTTCAACCAGGTTGCCATTTCTCTCATCAGCCTTGTTCAAGTTGTCCAACATGATGTCCCTGACCTCCTCCACGTCCCCCTGGACCTGCTGCAGGCGGCTCTTCCCATTCATCTGTCCAATCGAGACACGCAACATAATTAAAGACGGAGGAAGACATAAAGTGGATTCAGTCAATTGGTGATAGTTTTTCCAGGGATTCATGCGCTGTATCTTCAAGCGCTTGTAACACCTTATTGCCCTACAAGGCAGCTGCGCTCCAGAGATGCTGGGTTACTCGTTGTTCCTATGGTTTTAAAAAGTAGGCTGGGGGCCAGAGCCTTCAGTTATCAAGCTCCTGTTTTGTGGAACCAGGTTCCACTTTCAGTCCGGGGGGCAGATTCGGTCAGCTCTTTTAAAGTAAAACTTAAAACTTTCCTCTTTGATTCTGCCTATAGTTAGGGCTGGCTCAGGTTAGCCCGGATCAGCCCTTAGTTAAGCTGCTATAGGCTTAGAATGCCGGGGGAATTCTTAGGACACACCGAGTTCCTCTTTCACGCTCTCGTTCTACCATAATTCACGTTTTATTAAGGCACATGACTAATTCAGCTTCTTTCCGGGAGTTTTTTTTGTGCTTTCTCCCCTATCAGGTCTCCACCTACCGTGACCATGCTGATGCTTGCTGCTGCCATCATCATCATCTTTATTATTTTAGATATTAATCATATTACTGTACTCGTAAACCAACATTACCCTCTCCTAAAGTCTCTGTGCTCTCCCTCCCCACAGGCTTCTGTGGATGGTGGTTCTGTCTGATGGTGGTTCTGTCTGATGGTGGTGGCCCCTGCAGTGGTCCTGCTGTGCGCCTGGCTTACTACTCACAATTACTTGAATCATTTCTGTCATAGGAATTGAATGTATTATACATTGTTCATTCTGTACACATGGCATCCATTGTAGTCTGTCCATACCGGGAGAGGGATCCCTCCTCTGACGTTCTCCCTAAGGTTTCTTCCCTTTTTTTCATTTTTTGGGGAGTTTTTCCTGTGCCGATGGTGGGTTTCGGGACAGAGGATGTCGTATGTGTACAGACTGTAAAGCCCTGTGAGGCAAATTTGTAATTTGCGATTATGGGCTATACAAAATAAAATGAATTGAATTGAATTGAATGCGCTTGCCTTGTTTGAACCTGTGGTGAAAGAGCGGTTTATACGGGTAATACATGTATGCAAGCACACAGTGTCAGCTGTTTGTTTCTTGACAAGATCAAACGTTGTTGCTATTTGGCATCCGCGCCGAAAATGGCAAACCCATGATAAAATGTGTAATAACTGCTTTGCACTTCTGGACAATTATTTTTCCGTGGGGATGAAGGGGAAGCCCTGTCAGTGTTCTGATGTGTAAAAATACGTTTGTATGTTACTGGTGAAGAAAGAAAGTAATAACTCCCGATCACGTCGCTTCCGGATGACACGCCAGCAGTCCCAGAGACGTCCCCAGCGTGGACGACTCAGCCGTAGCCCGGCCCAATCGCACAATCACACAACCCACACCGGCCTCTCAGAGTTCACAGACAAGATAGTGGGTCGCTCATCCTTTTCCCCTCAGGACCCCCATCTGCCCCGAGAGCAGTGACACCTAACCTAATCCATCAGCGGGCTGTTTCCACCCAGGGCTACGCCAAGATGATCAGATAATACCACCCTCCTTTAGGCCTGCTCAGAGGAAATAGGCTGCAGCACCAAAGGAAGCCTGTTCCCGTCAAGGATGTTGGCAGGAACAGGACACCAACAGAACAAAACCAAAAAATCCACACTGTCTGCACCTTTATTTGGTTTAACGTCATTTCCTGTCTAAACTCACTGTACGTACA